AGATCTGGGAGGTAGGGGGCAGGGCTGGGCAGACAGGCTTCGGGGTGTCACAGGGATGGGCGGCTGGTCGTGGGAGGCCTCACCTTCCTGGTGGGTGCGGCAGGTCACCAGGGAGCTGTAGGGGCCGTCGCCCTGCGTGCCGAAGGCGCACACCTTCATCTCATAGTCGCAGTACGGGTACAGGTTGGTGAGCTCCACCGAGGGCACCTTGCTCTCCAGCACGTGGGCTTCTGAGTCGGAGTCCCCCTGGATCCAGTACCTCACCTGCTCCCGGGGGAGGCGCTGGTCAGTGGGGAAGTGCGAGTGCCCAGCAGCTGGGACCTCCACTGACCTGCGCTACTGTCCCCTTTGCACACGTCAGACACCAAGGATCAGAGAGATTGAGTGACCTGCCAGGTTCACACAGCAGGGCTGGGGGGGGGGGCGCGGGGTGCGCCTGGGGGACGGAGGGGCCATGTTCCAGGAAGGAGGGAAAATATCTGAAAGCTCCCTGGGCACAGAGGCTCCGCCCACTGGAGCCAACATGCCCTCGCTCACCCTCATGGCCCTCTGGCCCTGGGAAGCCACCTCCCCGTCCACCTCCCTCATCGGCCCCCTGCCTTACCCTGTACCCTGTTGGTTTGCCTGGAGGGGGCAGCCAGTTGAAGTGGATCTTCCGAGAGCCAGCGGCTTTGGCGTTGGGGTTCTGTGGGGCGCCCAGGGCACTGTGGGAGACTGGGAATGCAGACTGGGTCTGGTTCTGGAAGGTCAGGTCCAGTTCGTCTGTAGTGGGTGAAGCCAGGGCGGGGCAGCCGGTTGGGATATCCCCTCACACAGCAGAAACTCACTCCCACCACCAGGGGGCGCAGGAGGCCCAGTGCAACACCCAGCTGTGATGGACTGACACCTGCCCCGCAGTCTCCCTCCACCGGTGCCCCACGGGGCCGCAGGGGGCATCCTGCCAAGCTGGGCGGAGGACCCAGGAGGGTCTTTGGCGAAAGGAGGAGGAGGAGGGAGATCGTCTGGCAGCCAAGGGAATGTTTCCCATGAGGCCATCTGCTCCTCCTCCCCAGAGCCCTCCCTCCGCTCCCATTTTCCCCACAAGCGCCTCTGGAATTGTTAAATACCAGGAGGCTGAGGGCCCATCAGAACTAACGCTTTCACCCCTAAAGCGGAAGTCAGAGGGCCTAATCCTGGGGTTCACGGTGAGCATCGGGTGCCAGATAAAATGCAGGAGCCTGGACACATTCGAATTTCAGAGAAGCAACCAGTGCTTTCCTCAGGGGAGGACTATCCTAAATGCTGCAGGGGACAGACTGAAGGCTCTGACGTGGAAACTGGCTGTGCGCCCTGTGTTTTTGTTCGCCAAGACCAGCAGCCTTCGTGGAGAGAGCCCCGGCCTCCCCTCACCGCCTGCGTAAACGGACCCCAGGCTCTGCCCACCTCGGTCCCCGATGACGACGGTGGCCGAGTGGGGCTGGCCCAGGCGCGCCCCGAACTTGGGGTTGCTGAGTTGGACGTGGAAGCGGCGGACCTGGCGGCTCCGCAGGAGCGAGTCCACCTCCTGCAGCTCCAGGAGCTTCACCTGCAGCTCCTTCCAGGTCTCCCCGGGCTGGAACAGCAGCTCGCCCTCCGCGGGGATGTAGTCCTGGGAGTGGGAAAGGGGTCAGACCGGCCACACCCCCACCCCGACCTCAGGGACACCGCGGACCATCACACACAGGCTGTCCCACGTGGACATACGTGGCTCGGTTCATAGGGCACCTCCTGTGTGCCGCTGGACAAATATTAGCTCATTTCACCCTCAGCAGAGTGAGGTAGAGAGAGAGTACTGTCCCCATTTTATGGGTGAGGGACTGAGGCCCGCAGAGGGGCAGAAACGTGCCCAAGGTCACACAGGCAGTTGTGGGGGAGCCAGGATTTGAACGAAGGCATAGGGACGGGGATGCACCGCAGATCCGAGCCCCCACAGGCAGGCGCTCATCCGCGGAGCCGGGATTTCAGGTCCCCACACTGTGGCTCTGAGGTCTGGGACCCTGCCAGCCCCCGGCCCTGCCTGCTGCGTGGGGCGCCTCTCTCCGCTCCCGCTTCCCACCCCCGTGCCCCAGAGCTTCCCCGAGCGCCCCACGTGTGCGCAGCGAGTGACTCGACTGGAACGGCGGGGCGGCAATGCTCACATCGGACCACCAGGTGGCGCTCCGAAACCAACATTTCCATTCCAGGCACAGCTGGTCGGGCCCACTGTGCCTACCGGGCACATTCAAGTGCAACAAAACCCAGCGAGACAGCGAGTGTAAGAAAAGCTGGAGTCGCCTGCAAGTCAGTTGACCTGGGCTGGCGGGGCACACAAAGCTGGGAGATGCTCTGGATTAAAGGAGCCCCAAGACACAGGGCCTCGGCCGCGATGCCCACTCTCCGCTTCCTGGAGTGGGAGAGGCAATCATGGACACACTGGAACACGTGTGCACAGGGAGCTCCGAATACGGACTAATTATTAGGTGCGGGCATGATGGGAAGTTTCTTAAGTGGTAATTAGGTTGTAGTTCTGCAGAAGGAGTGGCAGGTGCTGCAGACATATTTAGGGCCACATGAAATCTACAGTTGTGGAGAGTTCAGCACACAGAAATAAGCCAAATCCTCTCTCCCTCCTCCCTACAGTCATACAGATGTGGAACTGTACATACATCTGTGTCCACATCATGCATGGATACCTAGATCTGTATATATATATATAGAGAGAGAGAGAAAGCAGATAGTAACAGCTGGTGGGTATATCTAAAGGGCACACATATGCTAATTTTATTAGTCTTTCCATTTTTCAGGAGGTTTGATGTTTTTCAAAATAAAAAGTTGGGAAATAATAAAAAAAAATTTAATTGCTAAATACCAAAAGCATTTTTATAAAAGCCTAACAGGACAGCTGGAATCTCTCGTATATTTATGGCCTATTCCGTGAAATTTCTGGACATGCAAATTCTCCTTTGGAATTTTTATTGGGAGCATTGAATCAGGAATGAAAACCGTTCCTCCCGATAAAAAGAAGATTTGGGTGTGGCCGGGCTGCCGGACCCGCTGAGTGCATCCTCCCTGCCTTTGCCAAGTGGCCCTGTGGGCCCAGTAAGACTAGATTTTGTTTTTTGAGTTAATTTTTGATTGGAATATTTTTAGTTTTTAAATCTTGGCAGTAAACTCAGAAACACAAACAAACAAACCTGCAAGTCAAACCACGCACATCCACCTACAGGCGTCCAGGGACCCAGGCAGCCCCCATGTCCGCGCCCCCCCCCCCCCCCCCCCCCCCCCCCCCCCCCCCCCCCATGTGCCCTCAGCTCCAGGGCGGAGCTTACCCGGTGGCCCTGCGCCGTGTTGTCCTGTGTGCGGTAGGAGACCTGGGACTTGCCGTTGTCCAGGATGCGCCGGATGACGGGAATGCGGGCCACCTGCTCCCCGCCACTGACCAGGTACTCAGGCTGCTCAAAGGACACTATCCCGTTGGCTGCAAGGGGCCGGGCAGAGTTAGAGGGTCCAAGCCTCAGTCCCCTCTCTACTCCCCCGCCCGCCGGCCCCACCCAGCCCAGACTGCAGGAGGCTGCCTGTCACCCCGCACCCCACCACTCTCTGGGGAGGGCCGAGGAAAGGGATGGGCCACTTTTCCAGAAAAAGTTGAAGGGGCTGGGATGGTGTCCAACAGACACCCTGGAGGGGCCGGGGCAGAGAAAGGAGGCCGGGTGGAGGAACAACCGAGGGGAGGCCCTGAATCCAAGGAGCAGGGGGCGGGGGCAGCTTGGGTGTCCGTGATGCGAAGCCTTGCCCACCCTCTAGAGAGGCCTGGGCACAGGGGACCCACTCCTTCCTGCTCTGATGGCCTGGCATTTCAGGGAGGTCCAGGCAATGGCCTGGTTCAAAGGCCGGAGGGGAGGGAGCAGGGGAGGGGTGTGGGATGGCTCCAGGCAGACCCCGCACCGTGAGTGAGTGTAACGGAAGCTCCGCGCAGAGCTGTGCAGCCACACGCTCTGTGTAAGAGCCCGAAGCCCATTTTACAGATGGCGAAACCACGGTTCACAGAGGTTAAGTGACCTGCCCAGGCCACACAGCCAGGCCCCACTCCCACTCGAATACAAGGGCCCAGCTCCCTGTTCTTATTTTATTTTTTATCGATTTCAGAGAAGAAGGGAGTGGGAGAGGGAGAGAGAAACATCAATGATGAGAGAGAATCATTGATCGGCTGCCTCCTGCACGCCCCGCACTGGGGATGGAGCCTGCAACCCGGACCTGTGTCCTTGGCCGGAATTGAACTCGGGACCCTTCAGTCCGCAGGCCGACGCTCTATCCACTGAGCCACACCAGCCAAGGCCCCAGACTCCCCTTTTGCCTCCTTGCTCCCCCGACACTGACCAACCTTGCTCCTTGATGATGGTGATGTTCACCAGGCGGCGGCCGAGGGTGGCGGTGCCCATGGGCACATTGAGGGCCTCCACCAGCAGCTGCTTCTCATCGTCGTCCTCCGGCCGGATGAAGAGCGGCACCCTGACGTCCACCAGCTCCACGCCCTCCTGGAACTCCACCATGCCCCGGGCGTCTGGGTGGGGTGGGGGCGGTCAGAGGTGGGGCCACACGGGGTGGGAGGTGACACTGAGCTGCGGGGGGTGCTGCCCGCTTACCCTGGTCCGCAGTGAGGGTGTAGTACCCCGGGGCCACCTTGAGCTCGTGGAAGGCCCGCTGGGCCACCTGCTTCTCCGTCAGCTTCAGCAGGGCCTGCTTGGCCGAGCGGGGAGCCATCAGCACCGTGTCCACAATGGTGTGGTCCTGCCTGGGGGAGGGGTCAGGCGGAAAGGGGTCAGGCTGGCCAGGAGGTGGCTCTTGTCCCTGTCATCAAGGGGCAAGATGTGGGGCAGCAAAAACAGTGCAGGTTCTTCAGAACCAGGCCCATGCTGGCCCCACCCCTGCACCCCGCAGCCTCAGCCGAGCCCTGTGTCTCCCGAGCCTCAGTGACCTCCTCTGTGAAATGGGCTATTCTCGCCCAGGAGGTGCAGGCAGCAAACATGCTGAGGGTGTAGGCGCTGAAGCCTGGGTTCAAATCCTGGCCCTATTTCCTTCCTTCCTTCTTTCTTTTCTTCAATCCTCACTCGAGGATATTTTTCCATTGATTTTTAGAGAGAGCGGAAGAGAGAGGGAAAGACAGAGAGAAATATCGATGTAAGAGAAGCACATCGATTGCCTCCTGTACGCGCCCTGACCAGGGCCCAGGTTACAGAGGAGCCTGCAACCGAGGTACGTGCCCTTGACCGGAATCGAACCTGGAACCCTTTGGTCTGCAGGCTGATGATCTATCCACTAAGCCAAACTGGCTAGGGCCTGGCCCTATTTCTTAACAGCCAGGGAACCTCCGGCAAATTACTGAACCTCTTTTAGCCTCGGTTTGCAGGGGCCACCCTGGTCCTGAGTGGACCCCTTGGTCTACCTGTTTGTGCAGGACTGGCTCATAGTAGGACTCATGTCAGTATTTCTCGAATGAAGGTCCTACCCCATGACAGGCATACCGGATGGAAATGGGGCCGGGGGTGGGGCTATCCCACCCCAGTCTTCAACTCACTTTTTCCCGGCGTTGGGCTGCTGCCTGTGGGAACAAGAGGGGACGTGAGCCAGGTGGGCCTGGGGCAGCTCCCGCCCCCACCCCGCGCACCCAGGGCAGGACGCACCGGAACTTGGTCTGCTGGAGCTTGTGTGAGCCTGCGATCTGTCTGTACACCTCGTTCAGCTGCCAGGCAAGGGTGGGCATGAGGCTGGGGCCCCGGGGCACCCAGTTCCCAGAGGACCTGCCTGGGCTGGCTGGGCTCCCCCCCCGCCCCCCCCACCCCCCCGTGGGCACGCCCATGGCCTCATCCCTGCCAGGAACCGCTCAGAGGGAACAGATCCCAGGAGACTCCACTCCAGGCGCATGTCCAAGGAGGCCCCTGTCCCACGGGAACATCCAGGTCCCACGGCGCTTGCCCCGGGCTCTCCCCCGACCAGGTCTCGCCCAGGCCCCGAGCGGCCGCTGCCCTTACGTTCTCCTCCACCTCCTGGCGCAGCTGGTCACATTCCCGCGTGTCAGGCTCCAGCAGGTTCTCGGTGCAGAGGCGGGC